CATCTAAATTTGAAATAAGCGCCCTTGGCACTAATTTGAGGATTTACGGTAGTCCAATTCTTACTGTTATCTATCCCTTCCCCCACCACCACCACCTCTCTGGGCAACACCTGGAAAGGCATTTGGTACTATATAATCACAGTCTGGTTTGGTTAAGCACACATAGAACTGTGCAACTTCACTAACATGTATTTTATGACTTAAAATAGCTTGTGATGATAACTGCCAATGACAGGTGTAAAAAGTAGAAAATCTATGGGTGGGGGTGTGCTGCTGGACACTGAAACCCTTGCCCTATACTAGACCATGATCAGTGTGATTTTGTTACCCTATTCTCTAGACTAGGCAACAAAGACCCTTATCCCAGACAAGCTATATTTTCCATGCATAAGCTTTGTCACTATTGCAGTCCAACACATTCTATTAAAAAATTAGATTTTGAGCTCTTGGTTCCTATGCACGACAGTTGACTTGCGCTGCTCCTTCCCTCATCAGGCCAACGAAATCCCTTTTCTGTGAGCTGTTAACAACTTTTTTCTAATTTTTACACCTGTTGGCATTTATCAGCACAACCTATTTTCAGTCAAAATACATGGTAGTCAAGTTGAACAGTTCTTCCCAGCTTAAGTGGTCCCATGCACAAAACTCAGCTTTTTTCTTTTCTTTTTTCTTGGGTCAGGGAATCTTTTTATTCGATCTCTTGAAATCTTAGAATCCTTTAAAATGAGTCACAAAGTCTTACTTTTCTTTGTTTCATTCATCTCCAAGCCCAAAATCGTTTACTTCACATTCATGGACTGTCTCAATTTTCAATCAAGGTTCTCTTGCATCTTGGTGTCAAACTTAATCATTTGTCACCCATTAGACTGGGTTAAAACTCCAAAATAAAAAAAAAAAGTATTTAAACCACTGTCTCTGTAAAATACATAATGCATAAGCCTCGTGCATGGGAACATTCTGGGCCACAGTTGCATGGTTGAAAGTATCAAGTCACGTGAAATCGTCCCTCCCACGAACAAAAGCACACTAAGGGAGAGGGTTGAGTTCATAAATATTGCTCCTTTTTCATTCTCAATGACAAACTTGACGGTCATTTTGCTTGGTACATTTTTTGTTCAAAAGATGGAAAAGTCTTGAATTACAACAACTGCAGGTCAAAGAATTGATATTGATCAGAAACTAGCTGTTTTATTAAAATATGTAGTATCTTGGCGCGGATCCATCGTTTTACAGAACTCGGGCAAATTTTCCAGAATAACTCGGAAACCCAGGAAAGGGGACTCAGTGGAGTTGAAATCTAAAAATATTTCCTGGGGAAGTAGGACCCACCTCTAGTCTGAATTTCAGCCGTCTCTTTCCTTTACCCCGAGGGGGGCGTAAAGGGAAGAGACGGCTGAAATTCAGACTAGACCCACCTCTAGATCTAAGAAGCTTGCGCTTCGGCGCTCGCGCTCGTTGTTTCGGGAGTCGGACAACATTTATCCTAGATCTCCGCCTGCTTTCGATTACATCTCGGTTTATTTTTTGTCAAAGGCCAACAGCTAAGTCAACTTTAACCGTGATCCTACCTTCTCAGTGACTGCTCTTTTTCACAGAAACCTTCGGCTTCCGTGCACTCCTCAGGCCAGTTGGCATGAGTCAGCAGCTGTAAGGCGTTGAGCCGTGGGGTCTTGGGCACGAGAATTGCGAGGTCCGAGCTCCATAGAAATGCCACTTCCGGGGTAGTACTTGGTGTAAGACCTCACTATTATGTCGGGTAGTACTTGGTGTAAGACCGCACTATTATGT